AAAAAAAAGAATATATATTTTTTTAATTCCAAGATCACAAAGATGTAGTCCTATTTTTCTCTAAAAGCTTTATTGTTTTAACTTTAGTATTTAGATCTGCAGTCCAGCTGGAGAGACAAGTTGACCAATGGAACCACAGAGAGTCAGAGAGAGACCCATACGTTTATATTCCCCTGACTTAGAACAAAGGGGACCCCAGGGTCACTGGGAATGGATAAATGAATCAATAAATGATACTGGGTCCATTGGATACCTATATATGTATTTTTAATGTTTATTTATTTATTTTAAGAGGGAGAGAGGGAGTGAGCATGAGCAGGGGTGGGGCAGAGAGAGAGAGAAAGAGAATCTCAAGCAGGCTCCACATCCAATGCTGAGCCCAACACAGGTCTCTATCTCATGACCACTAGATCATGACCTGAGCTGAAATCAAGAGTCAGATGCTTAACCGACTGAGTCACCCAGGCGCCCCAGGGTACCCATGTTAAAAACAAACAAACAAATATCCACATACAAATATCAATTCCAGCTGGATTGCAGTCTTAATTACTAAACCTTTATAATTATGCTCCTTTTAAACACAGCATCCTGTTCTTGTTTTAGGAGCGCAGCATTTTGTCTTTCTAAGGATTTTGACTGGTTGAAGTTTTCTTCTGCTCCCTACTGATTCCATTTCCTCTAAGCTCTTTCTCTGCTGTTCATCTTGGTCCCTGTGGTTGACGTCAGCAGCTTCCCTTACACGCGGGTGATCCCTGCCTGCCCTTTCGTGGTGAGAGGCAAGGCTCCCGGAAGCCCCTGAAAACCCTGAGCGGGTGAATAGAGCTTGGCACTCTGGGGGCTTCCTGGGGGCGCTGGGGTAAGGATGCCATTTTTTGTAAGGGGTTTCTCTTTGGCCGGTCAGTTTCTCAGCAGTGAACCCTCTGATCTCCCGACTGGGAACAGAAGGCTCACTGCCAATGTCTTAGGCGACCGTGGGACTTGGGGGAGTCCCACCTTTCAGAACGTCAACTTTCTTCATCTGTTTCTAGCACAGTGCCGTCCCTCGCCCAGCTGTGCCTAGACTGTCTCTGGCTCACCATCGCCAGAGAGTAAATCTCTCCTCTGCCAGGTGCCTGGCTGTCGCTGGGCTGCAGGGAGTGGGGGCACTGGCTCCCTTCAGACCCCTTCTGCTGTCCTCACGGCAGCCCACCCTCACCTCTCGGCCGGAGGATCCCGGTGGGGACCCTGTCAGGGGCCGCCACGTGCCCTGGATGCCTCTGTCCAGATCTGTGTTCTTTTTGCTGTTTGTTTTCTGCCTATTTTCAGAACTCATTAGTGCCTCTACCGCAGAAGAGGAGAGGGGAGACGGGTAAGCAATCCCGGCTCTCTCTCTCCCCGTAACTCAGTTCCGGTCCACGTTTCTGCTTTCCATCTTCCAAAATGTCGTCCGCATGCCTCACCTGCAAGGATTCCCGCTTCCTTCGTCCCTTTGGGTTGACCCTTTTTACGCCTTTGCTGTCAGTTGTGGCGCGTTGCAGGGGGACCGTGGGCTTGGTCTTCTGACCCGTGAGCTTTGCAGTCCCTGTTCCTTCTTTCTGGAAGGTTCTTCCTATCACTCTTCCCGTCAGTGGCCCATGGCCATCCTTCAGGCCACAGGGCAGTCCGACATTCCTCAAGGACAACTCCCCTGAATGCTTCCTCACAGGGAGCTCCATGCATCCCAGTTCCATCCTCTGTCATCGCCATTGTCCTCGTGGTGCCCTTGTCCAAGGGCATGAGTGAAAGGCCCCATGGAAGCTACTTCCTTGATTGCTTTTATCGAAGTCTTGAATCACCTTATTCATTCATTCATTGGTTTACTCGGTCCCCCTTCTGCCCCCACGGGCACGCAACAGACATGCAGTCGACGTTGGTCCGGGAAGCTTTACAGAGAGATCGGTGCCACTTGCCCGGGCAGGCCATACGGCTGGAGTTGGGGGTCTGCTGCCCGTGCGGGGCCACTAGGCGAACTTGGCACTGTGCAGGGGGCAAGGCTGGAGGCTGAGGCTCAAGGGGTCCGGGCGCACAGGGTGCCCGGGGCACTTGGCACCTGACCAACCCAGCCTCCCCGACCCCTGCCGCAGACGGACCCGGTGCGGCTGACCCAGCTGTACGAGCAGGCGCGGTGGGACCTGCTGTTGGAGGAGACCGACTGCACCGAGGAGGAGATGATGGTGTTTGCAGCCCTGCAGGTGCCTGGCGGGCCAGGGGACCTGGGGGTCCGGGGCGCGGGCCAGACCCAGGGCAGGGAGGGTCTTCCGGGGTGGGGCCCCGTCTTCGGGACGCCCCGCTTAGGGCCCTGTGGGCTCCTGGGCTGCCCACCCAGCCCTCCCTGGCCATGTGCCCCACCCAGTACCACATCAACAAGCTGTCCCAGAGTGGGGAGGCGGGCGAACCCGCCGCCGCCGCAGACCCCGGGCTGGACGACCTGGACGCGGCCCTGAACAACCTGGAGGTGAAGCTGGAGGGGTCGGCGCCCACAGACGTGCTGGTGAGGAGGAGCCCGGGTCGGGCTGGCGTCGGGGTCAGGTCGCGTGCGGAGACCTGGCCCTCCTCTGACTCCTCTTCCCCCCCAGGACAACCTCACCACCATCCCAGAGCTCAAGGACCATCTCCGGATCTTCCGGTGAGTTCGGGCCCAGGATCGGCAGCGCCACTGGAGGGGCCCAGTATGGAGACAGAGCACACAGCCTGTCACACACCTGCCTCACCCTCAGGCCCCGGAAGCTGACCCTAAAAGGGTACCGCCAGCACTGGGTGGTGTTCAAGGAGACCACGCTGTCCTACTACAAGAGCCAGGAGGAGGCCCCGGGGGACCCCATTCAGCAGCTCAACCTCAAGGGTGAGTGAGGGCCGCCGGGCCAGGACGGGGACAAGGGCAGGAGCTGGCTGGGGGCCCACCTGGCCCACCTGAGTTTCCCCCTAGGGGTAGAGGGAAGATACCCTCTGTCCTGAGGCACTGTGCTGGGCCGGCATTCTCCCAGGGACCTCTCAGGCAGGGTCCCCCGCCCCCAGCCTCCTACCCACCCCTTCGTCTCCCTCTAGGCTGTGAGGTAGTCCCCGATGTCAATGTCTCCGGCCAGAAGTTCTGCATCAAACTCCTAGTACCCTCCCCCGAGGGCATGAGTGAGATCCACGTGCGGTGCCAGGATGTAAGTGAGGGTCTGGCAGGGGTCAGCCCCGGGCCGAAGCCGGAGTGGGGCTGGGGACAGGGCCGGGGGGGCCGAACCAGAGCCCGGCGAGCCCCTCACCACCCTCCCCTGTTCCTCGCACCCCAGGAGAAGCAGTACGCCCACTGGATGGCCGGCTGCCGACTGGCCTCTAAGGGTCGCACCATGGCAGACAGCAGCTACGCCAGCGAGGTGCAGGCCATTCTGGCCTTCCTCAGCCTGCAGCGGACGGGTGGCGGGGGCTCAGGCAACCACCCCCAGGGCCCTGACGCCTCTGCCGAGGGCCTCAACCCCTACGGCCTTGTTGCCCCACGCTTCCAGCGCAAGTTCAAGGCCAAGCAGGTGCCGAAGGAAGTGGGTGGGGGGAATGACCACGGCTTTTACCTGGCCACCCTTGGCCCCTGGATCTCCACAGAGCCTTCCTCTAGAAAGCCACATGCTCACTCGTTCCTTCTCCTACCCTTGTCCTTCAGACGGAGCACGCTGGTCCCCACCCCCTGGGAGGGGTCACGGCCCGGCTGCCCGAGTCCACCTCAGGGCCTGGCTCAGCAACTGTCTGCTGAGTGGTGCGAGGGCGCCCAGTGGAGGCCCCACGCTGGGCCCCGCCCCTGCTCCAGGCTCAGCATCCGGTCTCCCTGATGGGGACAGGCAGGGGGTCTCAGGGACTTCGGGGCCGCCCCTCACCAATGTGGTCCCGCAGCTCACCCCACGGATCCTGGAAGCCCACCAGAACGTGGCCCAACTTTCGCTGTCCGAGGCCCAGCTGCGCTTCATCCAGGCCTGGCAGTCCCTGCCTGACTTTGGCATCTCCTATGTCGTGGTCAGGTACGGGCCCCGCCCCAGCCTCCCTCTGCCCTCCCCTCCTGCCTGGAGAGGGCACCCCCGAAGCCTCCCTTCCTGCTCTGTGCGGGCGCCCCCCCGGGTGCCCTGCCCTCCTGCGCCCCGGCAGCAGACACCAGAGCAAGAGACCAGGCCAGGAGGGCAGGAGTCCCAGCTCTGCCGCAGCCCGGTCCCTCTCGAGGCCACGGTCCGCTGCTATGACACCGAGTGCCCTCTGCCCGCTTTCCCAGCCTGCAGAGACAGCCAGGCAACAGATGACAACGGTACCCACAAAAGTCGTTACTGAAAGGCCTGGACACTTTGCCTGATGCTGCCTCGAATGCTAGTATAACGATTAGATCAGTTAACCCTCGTCTTCCAGAAGAGGAACTCGAGGCTCAGAGAACCTAAATGACAGGAGCACAGCGTGCTCCGGAGCACGGCACCGGGCTATCTGGGGGGGCTCTGGGGCCCGTGCAGGGCAGGGCTCTTGCTCACACTCTGTCCTCCCCCGGGGAACTAGGTTCAAGGGCAGCAGGAAGGATGAGATCCTGGGCATCGCCAACAACAGACTGATCCGCATCGACTTGGCCGTGGGCGACGTGGTCAAGACCTGGCGCTTCAGCAACATGCGCCAGTGGAACGTCAACTGGGACATCCGGCAGGTGGGCCAGGAGGGAGGA